CGCAGCCTCTATTTGGGATCCTAACCACGCCTTTCTGCATAAAGCTCTCGAACTAATTCAAAATAACGCCGTTCGTTTCATTATGTCTAATTATAATCGAACAGCTAGCATATCATCAACGAAGTCCAGTTTGTTGTTACCCTCTTTGTCGTTACGCAGAAAGTTTTTTCGACTTTGCCTGTTTCATAAAGTGTACCATCATCAGTCGCTGCGAGACCATTATTTACATTGCCTAACTATTACTCTTCCCGTCTGGACCATCCGAATAAAGTTGGATTACCACGTTGCCAAACAAACACTTTTTTTTATTCATTTATACCGCTTACATTAAACGACTGGAACCACCTTCCAGTAGATATCGCAACTATACCTGATTATTTTCTTTTTCGCCAATCTTTGTCTACATTTCTGTTTGGTGAGCCAACATGAGTCATTTTATTTTGTTTATTTTGTCCGTAACAGATACTGCTTACAGCTTTTGCCAATGGAAGTGTGTTTTTAATATTTTAATTTCTTGCCAAATGTTTTTTTGTTTTGTCAGTTTGTTTTATTTTTGTTTGCTTTGCAATGCCCCTCTACAATGCTTCGGCGCTTGAGGATATGTATAATAAGTAAATAAATAAAAAAGAAAATGAACACAGTTGGCAAAAACTTGAGCCTTAAGGCCCGTTCACACTTTTGCGACCGAGCACGACAGAGAGAGACGAGATCTGTTAAAACTTCTTAAAAGTTTTTAGGACGAGGGTACACCCTGGCATTCTGGCGCCATCTATGCGGTGACCCTGAAACTGCATTTTACGAGAGCGAAGGCTTCGCGGGATTTCCGAGGTCAAACGTGTGTAATACCTGTAAGAAAGGCTTGTTTATAACTAGGGTTCGGATTTTTCGGTTTAAACTGATAAAAACCGATAACAGTACACCGAACTCATTTTCGGGAATTCGGTTTTAACCGATAAAGGTCAGTTTTTAGGGTCGACATTTTCAATTTAAACCGATAAAAACCGATAAAAATTGCTCGAATTTATTTTGTAAAATTCAGTTTTAACCGAAAAAGGTCACTTTGACCTTCTAGTCGTACCGCAGAGCCGTGGCGAAAAAGTGGAACGACAGTGTTTATCGAAACGTGTCAGAATGTACCGGATACACGGGTGCCATCACAACATTTTGGTTTAATGTGCGCCTCATCGATAAGAACGAGAAGTCCGAAATGCCCCATGACTTCGCCATGTACAAGCGTGTTTTCAGACTCGTTGTAAGGAAGACTGAATTGATGGAAGCTCTAAATGTTGTGTTGTGCTTCATAACGTCGCACCGTGTCTCTTTTGGCGGTCACAATTGGTTGATTAGATGATTTCGGCTCGGGCAGCGCTTCATCTCCTCAGCCTGCCAGTGTCCAGTGTTAACGTTGACAGGGCATTCTCGAAGCTCAGTGTCATACTAACAGGAAAGAAAGAGCGCGGATGAACGAGGCAAACCTGGTACATACATGTGTGTGTGCACTATAATAAGATCACGGTAACCTTGATATAGATATGGTGAAGTTCTATGATTTTGGGCATAGGCTTCATGTGTGAGTGTTGACTTGTTTGTACTTCTGTGTTTTTTCTTGTTTTTTTTTTTACAGTTGCCCACATTTGCCCAATAAAGTGTACATTTCTTTTTCAATGTATCTGTGCCGTTATTCTTTGAGTGATCACATATATCACAGCTACAAGTTTAATGTGATCCGGTGTCCGTATGTGTTTATTTTATATACACCGAAAAAAGCCGATAAACTTTTGTGGACATAAATATATGCCGAAAAAAAGCGAAAATTGAATATTAAAATAAACACCGAAAAAAGTGCGCCGAATTTTGAAAAAATAGAAACCGAAAACGCGGAACCCTATTTATAAAGTTGACAAAAATTTTCGAGCCAAGAAAGAAAGGATAATGCGCAAGAGAAATAGTAAATATGCCGGACCGCCAAGTTAACACTGCTACCCAATAGATGATGCCAGTGTGTCCTCTCGTTGTAAGAGGTTATAAAGAACCCAGTTTTAAGAGGTCGCAAGAGTTTGAACGGGCGTTTAGAGAACCATGCAGTGAAGGGAAAACTTAACAGTTCATGCGTTCTTAGCATTTCATCAGGTTCTCGACAGGCCTCTTCACGATGTATAATATGTGCATTACTTTGGTATTTGTTGATTTCTCTGGAAACAGGTGCCAGCAGGTACGGGCATAGACAATGGTAATTCTACTCGTGTATCTGTACAAGTTTTTTGTTATTTTATTTTAAAGCTTGCTATTTAGTTTTGAAAGAACTTCGTGGTTCCCATGGGGAAGTTGCAAATATTATATTGATGCGCTCAAAACCAGTCCAACGTCAGAACTAATGCCAAGGCATCTAAAAACAATAATGTGACCAGAAACAATGTCATTTATTATGTTGCCAAGCTAGGCCTCGCAAATGTTAGCCAAATCGGGTCCACTAATACCCACCCACATAGTAGGGTGTCTTTAGTGCCCATGCTTGTTGTTTAATTAGGCCTTGAACATGATTCCTTACTACGGAGGACTTGCATTACGAATGAGTTTTCTAGTTAACGGTGGTGTTCCTGTTAACAAACCATTGTATTTGGTGGGTAGAAAATAAGAGTGAAGAAGTGAACTTTGGTCTTTAATGGCAAGTAGGTTCATATGGAATCATTTTCGCTTCAATGGAGACTCAAGTATGCACGACACTGAATGGACTTTCCTTTCAGTCGACGGAGACAAGGGTACCACAAGAGCCAGAGAGGGAAAGAGAACGGGGGACCTCTTGGTGTCAACGCCTTGCCGCCTGCGTGGCTGTGCCCCGAACCGTGCAGTTTTTGCCGAGGTAAACAATTGGGCCATTTGAAAGTTTTGCGGATAACAAAAACATGACTCACTTGCATGCTTTGCTGTAAACAATCCAAAGCAGCACTGAAATTTGTGATTTGCAGATAATGTCACAGGTAGGATAAATAACCTCTACATTCTCAGAGTTCTGTGGACTAAGGGGCTGCCCAAAGATCACACAGCAGGATGGCGCCCCGCTACAGAGCACCAGTATATGTCGTACCATAGCCTCCTTAATACTGACAAAGCCTGGCATATTCCCACGGAAAGCGGTCGCCGAAATGGAAAAGGTGGAGTGGCATACAACGGGGAAGAGTCTCGCCGCAGCGGACGCGAAACACGAAAGAAGTATGATTCGGGTCCTCGCCACTGCAAAAGCTGTGTGCTGACGTCCAGGTTCCCCGAGGAATGGCCCTTTAATTCTCTGTGCTACCAAATCCTCACGCTCCTAATCTGTGAGCAGGCACTCTATGACTCAGTCGTCAAACTGGCAGGCTTTGTGAGTATTAGCCCCGAGAAGTTCGCGTGGCGCCCCCTTACGGCGAGCCGGGGTGACGTCACGGCGAGGAGAGAATTTTTCCCCGACTCGCCCCGCTCGCCCTGTGGAGGCTGGCACGACGCTGGCATGACGCTAGCTGTCGGCGCGCTCCTTTCTATTTAATTTTTTTTGGCGTGTTTTTCGTAGGAAGTGTAAATTTTTATATGCGCCGTTATTGAGGTATGGCCTGTAGCTACAGGCGAAACTTCAACCAACATTTTAAGCATGGTTGACAGGGCAGGCAACGCATGAATCACAGCTGGTATATGAGAATAAAGAAGTATGGCCACAATTGCAGGAGCATCATGCACTATAGATTTACATCTCGCACAATAAATGCTGCTGATGGTCTGAATGAATTGGCAGCTGGTTATGTGTACTATTTTTTTTTTGTATCTCTGCTTTTGTACACGATCGCCGAAGCAGAAAAGCTGCATACTGCTCGAGCAACATGCTAAATACAGTCTGGATCATGGGGAGAGAATCACAAGTAAAACAGCCCAAGTGCAGGGCAAAGTAAAAAAAAACAAGGAACATTTATTATATGCATTGCTCGCATTTGACCTTTGCTGGATTCGAATAGTATTTCAATGGACTACACGGGTGGTATGTGTGGACTTGTTTATATCGACCCTCATCTAAAGGAAGCTTTTGGAAACCTGCAGCAGTGTCTCTTTTAATTGGAAATGACAATTCAGACTAAACGGTGTATTTTCCGAATACCCAAGACTGGAATAAAGAATGTCACGAAAAAAGTATAAACATTCCAAATCGCGGCACTATTGCTGTGCATATTTTGGGCAGTTCAATACATATCATACAGGCAAATGGGGGCAGTTCGGCCGTTGTTGCTGCTACCATACAAACTAATTTCCAGTAATTGTGCATCTTCTAAGAAATATGCCTGCATACGTGTATAAACTATATAATTAATTCATGAAGAAACTACATTTATGTAAAACAACCCTGTTCCACGAGCACTTCAAAGATAATCAGAAACAGGGCCTTTAAAATATCTGCGAACCAGCGCATGCAGAGTGGCAGCGCAGAGTCGGGGTCCCGAGCTAAATTGCCGACCACCCAAAGGCCGATGATATAAATGCCACTTCAAATGCCTTGAAAGTTGGATGTAATATCGTCCTAAATCATGAACATGCAAGGAACAGAATTGCAGCGTCTGAAACACTTGCGCCACCACTTCACCGACCCCTCGCAAGATTGCCTTGTGTCGTGTGGACGGACGGGAAGGTTCATCGGCGGAATTGCCTCCGCCGATTGCTTTCGGGATTTGTAACCCAGTTTTAAAGGTAAAAGAGACAAGCAGGCTTATAAAATGTACGGAAGCACATCAATATCGGCCTAACCCAACGTCTTGTACACCGGGTGAACGAAGTCCAGCTCCTCGAAGAGCTTGCGGCACACAACGCCAAACCAGGAAACCGGTGCTGGGAAGCGAACCGATGCGAGATCGCGGAGCGGAGTCCTCCCTCTGACGTCACGGTACACCTCACCCAATCAGGGCGCGGCGACCGCAGCGACGCTTGTGTTCGCTCTCGGGGCTAATAGAGGTGCTATGGTCATACTCTAATCTACGGGGCACGGCATCGCATTGGAAACAACGATGTCAATCCTTTTCTACGTCGTTCAGGTTGGTTACGTTCCCAATTCTCACTGCCACCGAAGTAACAACCCCTGTTTGATTGCGGTGTCGTGCCCCTACGACGTTTCTGAGTGTCGACGCCGACTGTTTATGCTCCTGGCGCAGAGTGCGCATGCCGTTTACCTAGCATTACTAACCCTGCAATTGTCTGGAGATATCGCAACCAATCCCGGACCAGACAGTGTTGATTCCCAAGGGGCTAATATTTTGAGCATTGTAACTAGAACTGAGATTGGCCAAAGCCACATGCTTACCGAAATTAAGAAGCTCCAGGACGCCCAATCATCAACAGATGTGGCCATAAAGAACCTTAAAGAAAAGGTAGCGGCGATAGAGGCCGATCTAAGTTCTATGAGGACGGCTTCGGATGGGAGCGGAAGCAGTTCGGTATTTTCCAACAAATTTGTATTAGAGTTATCGAAAGTAAACGCAAGGTGCGACGATGCTGAAAACAGGCTTCGGAGATCGAACTTATTGTTCTTTGGTATCCCTGACTTGCAAAATGAAACTTGGATCCAATCGGAGGCAACTATTTTGAGCTTCTGTGAGCAACGGCTGGGAATTAAGCTTGACCCGAACGACCTTGAGCGGTCACATAGGCTTGGAAAGTTTTTACCTAACAAAAATCGGCCCATCATTGTCAAGTTCTTGCGTTACAAAGATAGACAGAACATTCTCTTTTCAGGCTTTAAACTAAAAGATTCTGAGTACGCTATTCGGGAAGACTTATCGGGCGCTGTCCGCACCGCTCGTAACAAACTGTACTTGTTTGCTCGGTCTCAAAATGAAACATTCAAAATCCGCTATGATAAGCTGAATATAAATAATAAGTGCTATAAATATGACGTTACCTCCGACTCTGTTACAGAAGTCTCTAGATAACTGAAGATTCCTAACGTCACACCCCTTCGCCCAGCTGTGCACGCGAGGCAGTCAAAAAGTTTGAACTACAGTGTTACATTTACTAATATACGCAGTGTTATGACTAAACGTGATGATCTAAGTGCATTCATTTGTGACAATAACTGTAGCATTGTCATTCTAACGGAATCCTGGCTGAAACCCGAAATAAACGACAACGAAATTTTTCCTGATGAACTGCAGTTTGACGTTTATCGATGCGATAGGATTTCGAAACGAGGAGCGGAATACTCCTCGCGATAAAAAAATGTGTCTCCTCATTTTGTATTCGAGCCTGTCCTGACCTAGAGACTGTGTTCGTCTGCATTACATCGGCATTTAGGCAAACCATAATCGGCGCATGTTATCGGGCGCCAAGTCGGGATAGTGATTATTGTGACAATCTGCACTCTGTTTTGCTTAACATTCAGGGCCTTTACCCGAAAGCGCAATTCCTAATCTTTGTCGACTTCAACTTTCCAGACATTGACTGGGTTAATTATACCACAAGCGGGTCGAATGATGCTATAAAAATTTCTCGATAACTGCTTGAACTTCAACCTCATCCAAGTTGTTAATCAGCCCACTCGTGGTGATAACATTCTTGATCTTGTCCTTACTAGCTCTCCGGAACTTATAGAAAATGTTGACTCTGTTCTAGGTTTAAGTGACCACAATATCTTGCTCATTGAGTTATCAATTCACGTCCTCACGAGGAACCCCACAATCAAAACAATCCGTGACTTCAACAAAGCTGATTACGTGGCAATAAATCAGCACTTATCTTCCTTTTATCAAACATACGCCGAAAACTTTTTTTCAATGTCGGTTGAAGAAAACTGGTTACATCTTAAAAATAAAATAAACAGTCTCACTGAGCAGTTCGTCCCCACTGTCACTCTGCGGAGCGACAGGAATAGCCCCTGGTATAACAAAACACTGAGTTCATTGAGCAATAAAAAGAAACGTTTGTATAAAAGAGCGAAACGGCTGAACGGTAACTCTGTTTGGAATGAATACTTTGTGTGCCTCAAAACTTATACAAAAATTATTAGATCGCCAAAACAGAAATTCTTCTCTTTAGATTTACCAAGAATTTTGCGCTCTAATCCCCAGAAGTTTTGGAAAATATTTTCGCCTAGAGGCACTCATTCGATTCATCTTCAGGACGAAAATGGAGTCGCTGTATCTGAGCTTCATTGCGCTACTGTATTAAATAATTATTTCTCTTCTGTGTTCACCTGTGAAAATACCACTGATATTCCATGTTTACCCTTGTCCGACTTTGTACCTATGGCTTCCATTGACATTTCAGCCGATGGAATACTTGGCAGTTCCACCCGGCTCAGGAAGCCACAAACATAGCCTGAGATTATCGAATTTTCGTTCAGAATGTAGCTGGGTATGTCTAGTATCATATTCGAGGAGAGCATTTTGATATTTATACTAATTATTTTTTTGTATTTTTCTAAATTCCCGTCCCTGGCACCGAAAACCGCGTCTTTTCGCTCTGGAGACAAAGTCCCAGCGTTTTTCTTGGCAGTTCCGCCCGGCTCAGGAAGCCACAAACATCGCCTGAGAATATCGAATTTTCGTTTAGAATGTAGCTGGGTATGTCTAGTATCATATTCGAGAAGAGCATTTTGATATTTATACTAATTATTTTTCTGTATTTTTCTAAATTCCCGTCCCTGGCACCGAAAACCGCGTCTTTTCGCTCGGGTGGGGAGATGATGTTTCATGTTTTACAAAGTAATGACTGTGTCACAGGATTGACTGATATCTCCACCAGACGACTACACATATGCCGCCAAATGAGCTAGTCCAGACCCCATCGAAGAACCGACGGAGTTCATTTCGCATGTCGAGCTGCTACCTAGGCCGTACACCCGCGCTAAGTGCGTGTACAGTCACTCGCAATATGAAGGACCCATTCGCCGGTGCAATTTATGGGGCGGCACTTATTCCATTTTGGCCAGGCGCACTTTATTTTGAGCGACAAGAAAGATAAAAGTTTATTTCATTCTTTCACGTCAAGAAATATGGTCCAGGAATAGGCAAATCCAAAACAGCCTCAAACTGCCTGGTCGAATGGGTCCTTCATATTGCGGGAGACTGTACATCCAGCTACAAGAACTGTAAGGAGGCAAAGTACGTGAGCGCGCTGGCTAGGAAACATCATTGAAAGAAAACCTGAGACTAGGACAAATAAAAATTGGGGGGACACTTAGGCTCCGCCTTAAGTGTATGACGCGATAGCGCAAGGCCGGGTCGTCAGCGCAAGGGTGGAGGAGGGCGGAATGGCAGTGGAGGCGGAGGAAGGAAGGGAAGGGGGTGGTGGTTGGGGGAATGGAGGGCTTGGAGGGGGTGGATGAGGGGAGGGGAGCTGGGGAGGGGGCCCTCCCACGGGGTCACGCCGCCGCCGACTGCTACTAAGGGAGGGCAAGGGGTGGAGGGCAGGGGAAAGGAGTGGGGGTCAGATGGAGTAGTGGAGGAGGGGATGGGAGGTGGGGGGGGGGGGGGGTAAGGGGAGGGGATCCCATTCAACACCCGGGTCACGTGACCCGAGTATTCAGGGAAGGGGAGGGGCCCGCCCACAAGGTCACGCCGGACGCCGTGACCCGGGTAACTCGACACGGGTCACGTGGCCTACGAAGTCACGCCGGACGCCGACTACTACTACGCCGGCTTTTCCGCTGAACGGGAGCCTTACGCTATCGGGTGAAATAACTCAGTCTCAGGTTTTCTTACAAGAACTTGCCTAGACCGATGATACTTCAGTCATTTTACCGCCCAAGCATTAGTATGCTGTTTTTTTTTTTTTTTCGAAGTGCACTCGCGTGGGTTTTTCTCCTGGCTCATGCGCTTCTCGTGTATGCCTTTTCTTTTTTGCTCGTAACGTACGGAACAAAACAAGTTTCCATTGATCTGTGATAATCCATAATGAAGGGTGTACACTTTCCCGACTGTTCTGACAAAGACGAAAACTGCCGAGTCACTGGGCTGTGGACGCGAATGCGACGTACACCCGTCGTCGATATAAATGTGAACGCCGGACCGCCGACTGCTCTGTACAATCATCGTCATAATACTGCGGCCCGTGGCGGCTTGCGCACCTTATCGCGCGCTACGCCGAGATTCAGCGTGTGAAGCAGCTCAGCTCTGCTACTGCTCCCTGAAGAAAGTGCGAGGATTGGGTAGGAGCCTTTCGGACGTTATCAGGAGGCACTGTGGTGACTTGATAAAATAACTATTTGTTTTTTTCTTGAATGCGGTCGGCATTTCTTTCGGCTCATTCGGCCACGCTCATTTTTGAAAAGTCGAAGTGGCTTCTCACATGATACGCTCGAAATATTTTCTTTTGTGAAAATATTTATCGCTATTAGCGTTCACTGAATAATAAAGAAAGAATCTTAGTTTTGATGAACTATACCGAGCAACGTCGGCGCTTTTCCACGGGCAAAATGCAAACTATTTGCCGTCAATGACGTGTGCACAGCGCCCACAAAAAGTCGCAAAATAGAAATCCACTTTCACGCTCTCTGCAGAGCGGAGCAGTAAAAGCGAAGACAGCGTTCGATCCAAGCGCTTAATTTCGCTGAGGCGCCAAGCGCCGATAAGGCTCGATAGCCGCCACTCCCGCCGCGTCATGACGCGGATAGTACGGAGCGGTCGACGGACCGGCCTCCACCTTCATATTAACGACGGGTGTATGATATTTCGCACAGGGTTATTGGTCATACGAGAGAGTTCCACAGCCCAGCAAACAAAGATGGTATCTCCCAGAAGGCTCTAATTTGAATGGCCCTATATACATTGGGGCCAATGTGCATTGTGTAGACCTTCGATCTTCTGTTAGTTGCCATCTTTATTTGGCTGTGGAGTGCATTTTGATCATGCGCAGTAGCTCTTCTCCGCGAAATATCGTACTCCGCACCTGCGTTTACAGTCCAGTCGCTCGGAATTTTTCGCACCAGAGATAAGCGTTTGGAAGGTGTATAACTCGAAACAAGTAGCAGGTTCGAGGAACAATGAAGATGTAGACGATAGGATCTTTCCTTCTACGGACCTTTTGTTCGTCGTTGCAGACCTAATATCCCGAGGTATGATGGCGCAGCAGCTGTTAGCTGAGTAAGAAAGAGAGAGAGAGAGATGTTTATTCCCCCCCTTTTTTTTTTAGAAAATTGACTTAGTTGCTTGCCCGCTCAGTGCGCACACTGTCGATAGGGAAGGGGTCGGGAGAAAACGATGGAAAATATAGATCGGTTGGGAGGTTTATAGATTAGGTTGGGAGAGATGTCTCAGCCGTCGTCCGCCCGTCGAGTCGCGTTCGATTCGTGTTCACCCCTAAGTTGACAGTGCGGTGGAAGCTTTGTGCTTGTTGGACTAGTCAACTGTCGGCCTTGCACCACGTGACCACCCTGATCTCCACATACCACGTGCCGAGAGCGAGTTCAGGCGATAAGAGGCAGGCCACTGATTGGTCTGGCAAAACGCAGATTCCACCGCACTGTCAGCTAAGGGGCGAACGGAGTATAGTACGATTTAACGTTCAGAACGCACGGCCCCTCGAAGTTAGTAGATATGGAGCAACCTTAGAGCGAATAATAAATATTTTGCAACTGGGGTGGGCGGCAGTTGTGCTACAAAGTTAATGGAGAGCTTTACAGGTTCGCTTTTTCGCCCTGATAACGGTACGATGCATGCCCAAGGCCGCCGGAGGGGAGAGGAGGTATCGCTATCGGGTATAAAAACAATCTGCTAAAACTCTCTAATATCGGCACAAGGCTTCCATTGAACGGATGGCTTTTTAGCGGAAAGCGCTTAGTGCCGCTTCCCGCTAAACTTCACGGTTTTTGGTGAGACAGCTAGTGTACAATACAACTCCTTCGGTCTCGGGTATTATATTTTGTTCCTTGCCCCTTCTTCGTATTTGCCCCGTGAGTGCGCGCTGTAGGCATCGGGTCCCACAAAAATTAACTTTGATGCTTTGAAACGTGTTCGCCCCATAGCTCGGTCTGTATATAGCATCGGGCTACGGATCATTAGTTCCCAAGTTCAGTCCCACCCGACCGCTTCTGCTGTTTTCTTTTTTTATATAACATTGTAACAAATGTAGCGGTAAAACATAAGGGCTTAACCTGACAGTT